ACAAAACAAAGTTATAAACATAAATGATTATTACTACAAAAATAGATAACCAACCTACTTTCATATAATATTATTTAGTATTACCGCATTTAAGTTGCCAATAGTTTTAAGCGCGTGATTCAATTCATTATTCTCTGATATAGTATGATTGTTATACGTTAACACGAAGGAATCACCTTCTTCAATATTTTGTCCGAGTATAGGCAGTGACAGAACTTATCGATATGACGTCATCTTTTAATTATTTAATTTTATGCATATACTTGTTTCCTTATACTAAAATCGTTTATTATTAGAACACTCATTTATTAATATTGCTTATTAAGTTGACTATTAAATAATATATTGCATTAATTACATTTTTAATTATAAATAGGTGGAATATCTTCTGACGCATAGGAAAATATTTAAAAAAGATACCTCAAGCCACCAACAAAGTGTTGCGGTTAATCATATATACAATGTGTCATAAGTATACATAAATTAATTTTTCTAATTTTGACATTATGAAACTGCTTACGAAAAATTTATTATGCCACCAGTTGCGGAACCTTTTTACATTTTTACATTTTAATTGAAAGTGTATATTAAAGACTTATAAAAATAGAATTTGAATAAACTTACAACCTAGTAATCATGTTGTTTTGGTTCTTATTTTCCATTCTAAATCAGCACAAAATAATTAAAACACAATACACGACAAAATAACCCACTTTCTTGAAAACTAAATAACTTTAACAAGCACTATATAGGGTCAGGCACCGAAAACGAAACAGATCGCATATCTTGAAGACACATTTTTTTTTTGGAGAAAATGCAAAAAGAGGTCGATTTTTATTTCAAAGGGGACATCTTTCGATTATATCCTCAACTATCCTACATCCCTCCCCACCCCTCTGTCACTATTACCAATGAAATTAAAATAGGGAAAGTACTATAGTCTATTTTTATGTATGAGGGAGTAATTAAACAGCATTTCTAATGCAAAACTTAGTACGGTCATTTTAAATATTTTTACAGAATAATTTAAATATTTCCTAAAATTGTAATAAATGTACCTGAGCTATTACAAGTTTTGGGTCTTTTATTGATCCTTTATAAACATAAGCTGTACAGAACAATAGAAAAAGGTTTGGACCGGCCAAAAGTCCTGTGTATTAAAGATTACATAGCCGTATCTTAAGATTCTTTTCAATAAGTACCTATTTGCCAATTTTGTTTTATTTTAATTCCAAGAATTACTTACAGTAATCGAATTATAAGTAGATAAATACCTTCCCAACAAATTTCACCGAAAATGCGATTATAGGTTTTCCATTTAGTAAGGAGGTCCAAGTTGTGTATTCTTGACAGTTTACTAAATGTCGTTTAGTTGCAACTTGCAAGATGCAGTGTGAATTCTAGTGTGATCATGGAAAATTTGGAAGGGCCGCGTAAACGACAAAAAATCGGTCCTTTAACAGATAATGAAAAAACATTAATATTTAGTTGTTTTAAATCATTTACAGACAAACATTTATGTAAAAGTGTTGATGACACAGTAGAATTAGTTAGTAGTACGCTTGGTATTGGGAAATCTACGATTTACAGAGTTGTTAAAGAAGAGAAATGTGGCGAGTTTCAAACAGCACGTAAAGCTCCAGGAAAACCAAAATTTCAATTAGAAATTTTTTTGAAAGAAAGACTTCGAAGGAAAGTGCATGCGTTCTTCTTTAGAAAAGAATTTCCGACAGTAGACAAAGTTCTTGCCACGGTTCGAGATGATAAGGATGACCCTGAAATGAGTCGAAGCACACTATGGAAACTGTTAAAAGAAATAGGTTTTCTATGGAAAAAGCATTCCAGAAAGTCTATTTTAATAGAAAGAAGCGATATTGTAGTATGGAGAAGAAATTACCTAAGGACTATAAAAGAAATGAGAAACCAAAGAAGAAATATATTTTATTTAGATGAAACATGGATCAACGAGGGACATAAACCAAATACATTTTGGCAAGATGAAACTGTTACAAGTCGAAGACAGGCTTTTTTAAATAATTTATCTACTGGTTTAAATCCACCATCAGGAAAGGGGCGCAGACTAATAATTGTACACATCGGTAGTTCAAACGGTTTTGTTAAAGGTGGTTTATTGACTTTTAAATCTACTCGTACCGGTGACTACCATGAGGACATGAATTCTGATGTCTTTAAAGAGTGGTTCAAACAAATAATAGATCTTCTTTCTCAGAATTGTATAATAGTAATGGATAATGCAAATTATCACTCGAGACTTATAGAAAAAATGCCCACAACCAAGTGGTTAAAAAAAGATTTACAGAATTGGCTAAATTCAAAGAATATTAAGTTCCATCCCGGTTCTGTGAGAAAAGAACTGTATAATTTGTGTTCCCTTCATAAAGAGAAATTCAAAAAATATGAAATTGATGAAATTGCAAAAAAATCGTGGGCTTACGGTGGTTAGATCACCACCATATCATTGCGAAGTAAACCCGATTGAACTGATATGGGCACTGATAAGGAGAGAAGTTTCAAGAAAAAATAATTCTTTTAAAATGAGTGATGTTAAACAGTTGTTTTTGGAAGCTGTAGATAATGTGAAGCCTGAAAACTGGGAAAAGGCAGTAAATCATACGATTAAAGAAGAAGAGAAAATGTGGAAGTTGGACAATATTACTGATGAAATGATCGAGCCACTCATTGTAAATATTGGTTGCGACAGTTCATCTTCTGATTTCGATTCTGATTTGGATTTGTAGGTAAGAAGTAGTTTTTATATTAAAATTATTATTTATGAACGTAACGTTGTTTAAAAGTCAAAGTTTAAACCCTTATACCTACATAACCCGGTTGACACAATGTTCTTAACATACCTTGTGGAAAAATAAAACATTTTAGAAAAAATTGCATTTTTTTACCTTCAGCTGTTTAGAAGTTATAAGCAGGTTAATTAGGTGAAAATATAAGTGTATACTCGAGGAATAACTTCAAAAAATATTTTAACTGTCTATTAAAAGAAGTGGTACGCCTATTGATTACGAACGCTTTATTATTTTAATACTCTATCATACATAAAAATAGACTATAAGTGTGACACATCGTTGAAAAGGTAATTTTATAAGAAATTTGACTGTGTGACAGTTTATTACGTAACTTTTAATTTTGGTGCCATCTTGCGGGAAAAGTTTTCATATTTTAAATAATGATACTTCATTTGAAAGTAAAACTCATTTAATAGACAATTCATAATAAAAATAAAAAAAAAATAATAGAAAAGTAAACATAAAAATTAAATTGAAAAATTTAGGACAACTCCCATAATTAAAGACTAAAAAACTTCAAAGTAAATGCTCAAAGTGTTGTCCATTAACTTCCATACACGAATATAAATTATTCTCAAATCTTTGTCTGACATTTTGGAGTATGTCTGGAGTTATTTGACGACATTCGGTAATAATACGTTCACGTAACTCTTCTAAGGAACCTGGCTGAGTGGCCTATATTTTATTATTCAGATATCCACATAAAAAGTAATCTAAGGGGGACAGATCAGGAGATCGTGGGATCCATTCAATAAATCCTCTTCGTCCAATCCAATGTCTAGAAAAGTTTTTATTTAAGTACTGACGAACCGCTGCAGCAAAATGTGGAGCAGCCCCGTCCTGTTGAAATATTAGGTGATCTTCAAGGTATCGGTTATCGTTCTCTATTATGTCTGTTAAGATCAACGGTGTTTTCGAGTAATTCCAAATATATATCCCCAGTTAAAGTAGCTGGTAAAAATAATGGACCAACAATACGATTGGCAAATATTCCAGACCAAACGTTTAACTTTTCTGGGTGTTGAGTATGCGTTTCATGAAATACTCTTGGATTCGAATCTGACCAGTATCGACAATTATGTCGATTAACAGTCCCGTTAACATAAACACTGCATTCATTTGAAAAACAAATGTTATAAAGAAAATGTGGATCTTGTATAGCATGCTCGCCCATGATTTCACAAAATTGCAAACGGCGATCAAAATCGTCTTCGTTAAGTTCCTGAACCAAATGAGTTTTATAGGGATGTAATTTGTTGGCTTTCAAAATTCTCCTGACGGTACGTTCACTTACTCCAGATAATTCTGCAAGCTTTCTTGTACTAAGAGTTGGATCTACAACAACTTGTCCTAAAACGGCTACCTCTATGGCTTCGTTTCTTATTGGATTTTGAATCTGCCGTTTTTTATTTTGAACAGATCCTGTTTGTCGAAATTTTGAAATAAGTTCCAAAACGTACTTACGTTTAACCTGTTTGTTTGGGTGTCGCTCATTGAAAATTGTACAGGCAGTGTTAGCACATTCGTTATTTTTTAAATAACATTCAACAATTTCTACTCTCTCCTGAATAGAATAAACGATTTTTATGTTTTACTCGCTAATAGACTTGAAGTATCAATGAGGCTAAACTAAAAAACAGACCTGGTAGTTATGGAAATAAAAACCTTTATTTATTTTACGAAAACATAGTAAGTTCAATTTTATTCCAAAGGTAATTATGCATTAAATTTTTAAATTTGGCTTTCAAGTGACAATACGCTTATTTGAACTGTCACATGTCACACAGTCAAATTCCTTATAAAATTACCTTTTCAATGATGTGTCACACTTAGTACTTTCCCTATTTCAATTTCATTGGTAATAGTGACAGAGGGTGGGGAGGGATGTAGGATAGTTGAGGATATGATCGAAATTGAAATAAAAGTCGACCTCTTTGTGCATTTTCTCCAAAAAAAATGTGTCTTCAAGATATGCGATCTTTTTCTTTTTCGGTGCCTCACCCTGTATATGTCAATAATTTTTTACCAAAACACTATAAATCATCTAGTCATAATTATTAGAAAAAAATAAGTAACATGTTACAAAAATGCCGCTTTAGGTATATCTTTCACGCTATACTCAACCCGCAAATTGGCAATGGTTTAGTAATTTTTAATAATAGTAGAATTTTTATTTACCCTGGAATGAAGACTGACGTGTAAATTTTTTCTTTTTGATACCGGCCTTATGAAAGCTTTAGCGGTACTACATCTAAGACCATCCCTTAAAGTACCTTGCGGTAAATTGAATCCAGTCTGATGTTCTCCGTTTAAATCTCTGATTTGGTAACCAAGTTCCTCGGTTGCTTTCAAAAACCATTTTGCAATTGAAGAGCGATATCTGCAACATATTTTGAATATCGGTATTAATTAATATGTATTAATATATTATATAAAAATAAATGACTATGAAGTAAAGAAATACAGACAGTAAACAATGTTTGTGTCGCCTTGATAATATGGTCGAGAATCGCATCCAAAAGTTCTAATTAGAGAGAAATAGATTGATCTCTGTATTTATTTTTCGAGTAATTTTTAAACAATTATAAGTTTTTATTTAATTTCTTTCAAGTATGGTGGTGTTAAAAGAGACTTTGGATTGTATAGGATCTATTTTATACTAGGAAAAAACTTGAATTGAGTGAAATGTTGCTGCAACAAACATATTGTAAAAGTTTGTATGTTTCTAAATAATATCAAGGGAAGGGAACACTAGATGCAGTCTCTCATTTAGTAACAGATACACAAAGGTGTTTTGCTAAAAACGAATACTTAATGTGTCTTTTTATAGATTTAAAAGGAGCCTATGATGTTGTAGATTTAAACATACTTTACACAAAAATGCTTAATATTGGTATAAACAAAAAGGTTTCAGTTAATATTTTAAACTTGTTTCAGAATCGAAAATTATATCTCAGAGATCATAATAACATATTACATGGTCCACGTTTAGTCTATAATGGTCTCGCACAAGGCTCTATTTTAAGTCCGTTACTTTTCAACATATACACAGCCGAATTGCATGGTTTATTTGATGACAATATTAATATTATCCAATACGCCGATGATATCTGCTTATATGTCTCCCATAAAACATATGAAGAATGCTACAGAGATTTGCGATATATACTATATTGCCTTAAAAGTTGGTTATTCGAATTAGGTTTTAGTATGTCACCAGAGAAATCTGCCATTATGTGCTTTTCAAGACACAGAAGGAGATTTCCAGATAATATTACTATTGGTGAATATACTATCCCTGTTGTCGAACATTACAAATATTTAGGTATTTTCTTAGACAAAAAACTATTATGGACCAAACATATACAATACTTAAGATCAAAATGTGAGAAAGGTATAAATCTTCTAAAGGTTGTATGCAAGCAAACATATGGAGCTGATCCTAACTTATCCATTATGTTCTATAGGTCCTACATTCGTTCTCTTATCGATTATGGGTGCACATTATACGGATCCGCATCCAATACTAACTTGTTAGTATTGGATCGCATACAATACAAGGCCTTAAAAATATGCTTAGGTGCAATGAAGTCATCACCAAATCATGCAATTCTAGCTGAGTCACAAGAACCTCCGTTAGCATTTCGCAGACAATACTTGGCGAATAAAGCAGTAGTCAAATATAGATCATATAATACGTTCATAACAAATCAAATCTCAACTATTGCTATAGAAAACCTTACAAATAGATATTGGAAGAAAAAAAACGCGCCACCTCTAGCTGAAGCCTTTGTTGATACCAGTAATCTCGAAAATCATATAACTAAATACGAACAATACCCGATATTTCTTTATACATTTAAAACAATAATTGTTAAACCCGACATCATATTTCCTACATACTCCGAAATACCCTCTTTGAATAATGCCATCTTGAAAGGAATATTAAATAGATTCATAGACTATGACGTAAATATATACACAGATGGATCCAAAAGTAAAATCGGAACTGGTTTCGGAATTTTTGTTTCAACCACAAATCATATTGAAAAATATCGTATTTCAGACATATCTTCAATATTTACGACCGAAGCTTTAGCAGTACAAAAAGCACTAGAATGGGTTAAAAACAATTCAATTCAGAAAGCTATAATATTATCTGACTCTAAATCGGTACTACAAGCTCTACAAGGATGCCCATTGAAATATTATAACAATGAAATCATATTTAGAATTAAAGAACTAATTAAAGATGCCAAAATAAAAAACATAAAAATACAGTTCATTTGGGTTAAAGGCCACTCAGGTATTGTAGGAAATGAAATAGTAGATGAGGCTGCCAAACAAGCATGTAGTATTGAAAATATCACAAAATCTCCTACTAATAATAATGATATCTTGTGTAAACTAAAGAAGGACATTAGGGACAAATGGTCGGCTTTATATAATGAGTTTGTTAGTAGATCAAAAAACCATTACTTTTTAATACATCCTACCCTCCCAAAAGATATTCCAAACCTCTATTTCTCTACTTCTAGAACATATTCTACCATTATAACGCGACTTAAACTAAATCACGGACGTTTTCCTCATCATCTGAACAAAATAGGAATTTTAGAGAATCCCTACTGTCCTTGCGACAATTCAAGTATTGCAGACTTGAACCACCTATTCTTCCACTGTTCCAATAATAATAATGCTATAATACAATTAATATCTGAGCTAAAAAACCTTAATATATTCCCCCCACTTAATATTACCACTCTTCTTAATAGTTTTGACAAGAACATATATGACCTATTAGTACAATTTATATATAAAACCAAAATAGTTATATAATATATTGTAATAATACCACAAACAATCTGTGGCAAATGGACTTCGAATCCGATGCCAGCCCCCACCCAACACACACACACACACACAATATCAAGCACTTTTAAAAATTGTATGTTTACTTCTTAGGAACTTTGTATTACACAAACAAAGCAAGAAAAAGAAAGTAGCGGTGAACCTATGTCACCTCCAAAACAAAAAAAATAAAGATATTGTGTTTAATAAATTTGGCGAACCAATAATGTTTGAATGTTTTTAGTATAGTAATTTCTTCAGATCATTTGATTATGGGCCAAGTATCTACTTCTTTAAGAGGAGTATTTACTTGGCTGTAGCGCGGAGCATGCAAGGGTTTCGTAGTACCCCCACTTTTAAAGTTTATTTTTGACTTTTTCTAAAATAAAAAATATGTATGTATAGGTAAAGGTTAAATCTGTGCTCCTCTGGAGACACTTTTTCAAAGTTTTATTCAGTTTTTTATAAAAAAATACAAAACTCGACATTTTTTACCCATTTTCTCAATTTTTTTTTAGAAAAAACTAAATTGAATTTTAAAAAAGTGGTTCCAGAGGAACATAGATTTAACCTTTACCTACACATTCTTGTTTTTTTCTTTTAAAAATAGTCAAAAATAAACTATAAAAGTGGGGTACTACGAAACCCTTACATTGCAAGATTTTTCGTCTGGAAAGTGGCGCCTCTGTTAGATTTTTAAGAAATTAATATTTGTGAATGAAAACAATTTATAATATATTTTACTGATGTTTTACGAGGGATAAATGAATTTTACCTATTTGTACACCTTATTTTTTACGTAAATCATTTCTGTAAAACTAAGGATGGCATATATATTATATGCAAGGGTACACCAATTTTACGGATTATTATTTTTACCAAAAGAAAATTTATGTAAGTACAGGTAAAGGCTAAACCCGTACCTCTCTGGAGTCACTTTAAAAATTTGAATCAGTCTCTTCCAAAAAAAATCTAAGAAAAGAAACGAAAAGAAATAGAAATGTTAAAAAATGCTAGAAGGGAACAATATATTCCATTTTTGCCTACAGGAGCATTTATTTTTCTTACAATAAAAATAGAAATACATTAAAAGCTTTTTCGTCTAGAGGGTGACACCAACAAAATATATATCTTTTTCTACTATTTAGTGATTTGAATTCATTTTGTTATTTTTTACATACAGTAAATTCGCTAATTATATTAAAATAATTTTATCATTTATTTATTAAAAAAATTATCCGAAATTAAAAGTTATACACTGAGATGTGAATTATAAAATATGTTTTTGTTTAACTTTTAAATCGCACGTTTTTTTTTTTTTTGTTTAATGAATACCTCTTCGAGTTAACAATATTTATTAATTACGTACGACGCAGCAACCTTTTCGCGTAAGAAAATAAAAACCAAAATTTTTAAGTTAATTGAAACTGCTTTTGATATTTTGTTGTATCTTTTAAAACATTATTTTGAATTTTTTCATCTACCTACTTGCAGGTATTATTTTCACATTTAAAATAACCCAACGCAATCGGGTTACGTACGCAACTGCTGAAGATTCCAATATGAGCAAGAAAAAGAAAATGAAACAATGATTTTATTATAGCGACATCAACATTGTATAGATTTATGCAGTGATAGCCAATTTGTACATATTTCTAAGGTGAAAAAGTACGGAAACTAACTGCCGCAACTTTTACTACACAAAAGTGTATTAAGTGTTGCATACCGTCAACCTAATGGTTACGAAACGAAACATTTACCATTTACTACTAAAAATATAATTATAAAAATAATAAGCGTACGCTATGTAAATATATTTTTATTGTTAACTTAAAATATTAAATATGTGTATTTATTTAACATTTTAAAACATTAGTAATTAGAAATCATATAGAAACATCAAAAAGAATAAGCCTTGCAAGTAGTAACACTGTTGTCATATCTTTAGAGAAATATTAGTCGGGTTTGAAAACAATATTTTATAGAAAACAAACAATAAAAATAATAGTTTTTTTTTAGTCGTAAATATCATTTGTATTATAGGCAACACTAACTTTGTACCATCATCTCTTCTCATGGAATCTCTTTCTTTTATCACACAACGTTTTTACATTTATAACTTTCAAAATAAAATAACTGTCAAACAAAAAAGAACAAATGATAAAGGGGTAGATAGTATTACCGGATTTTCTTTTATAACAAATTTACACAAAAAATGTGTATACAGTGTAAGTCATAAAGTTGGATCCATGTACGAATTTTTTTAATATTGCGATTGAAAAATCTTCGTACAGCCCAGATAGCACAGGACGTCCCATGGACGTCCTGATTTGGTCCCTTGTTGGTCCGGTTGGTCCCGGACCTAAATAGGACGTCCACTGGACTTCCGATTACAGTTAACACTAGGACGTCCTTAGAAGGACGTCCTCTGGACGTCCTATTTTGGTCCCGTTTCGACAAAGCGTTTAGTTTTCGGTCCGAGTCCGGGACGTTAATGAGACGTCCAAGGGACGTCTATGGGACTTTCTA